CTTTTCACGTGGCTGGGAGTGGGAGGGAGGAGGGGGCGGAGTTAGGGCGGGGAAGGGGCGGAGTTGGGGTGGGGCTGGGGGGTGGAAAACGGGTAGGGCCAGGGCCCGTGGAGGGTCCTCTTTTTTTATTTGTTAAATATGGCAACCCTAGCTTAGGTGAAAGTGATCATAAAATGAGAGAGTTCACAATTCTAAGAAATGGTAGGAAAGAAAACAGCACAATGAAGATAATAGATTTCAAGAAGGCAGACTTTAGCAAACTCAGGAAGTTGGCAGTTTTTCAAGGAGACATTATTAAGGGCACAACAGCAAACTATACACTGCGTAGGAATGAGAGGAAGTATGGAATGAGACCACCCTGGCTTAACCAGGAGATCTTCTCTGGGTGTACCAGCTCCAAACCATCTCCCTCTTCCTAGGGAGTGACTGCAAACTGCCTCCTGCAGTCCCCAAACACTCCTCCCACTTCAACAAATTACAGTCCCCACCCCAAATCACTCACTATTGCATAAATAAATGATAATTTATATATTGTGCTTATGTTCTAAGGCAGATTATGTTGCTTTGTCATATATTGTCTGCCTGTAGCAAGGTTAAAATACTATTGCTTACATTTGCATTACTCGAATTTTATATATAATTTTGTGCACACAGATAACAGGATTGGGCTCATGACACTTATGAGGGTTTTCATCTTCAGCGGAAGAATGAGATTCTTAATTGAATAGATATTGATGGACACAATAGAAAACCTTAAAATACCGTGCTAGATAGCTATATATACACACACACATACTGGATGTTGCCGGAAGCAGGGTAAGTGATTTGATAATGCAAGAGTCTGATGTAGTATGCCAAATCCTATGTTCCTATTGCTGTAACAGTTGCTTTTCATTCAACTTTTTATATTTATCTGAGTTCCCATTAATTGAAAGTACTGTACTATTATCAGAAAATGAAATTAGGCCAAGACATTAAGGAATATCCCAGAATATCTCAACAGGTAATGAGAAAAGCCTCTGGCTATAAGCAGAATTAATCAGAAGGATGACAACTGCAGCATTATAGTTCTGTTTCCAGTCTTATAGGAAAGTGGTGTCATATGAATCCATGAATGGACCCAAGTTCTGTGAGTCAAGGTTATAAATGTTCCAATGTAAAGGGGGATTTAAATGTAAATAATTATTTAAAAACTAAAATCTAAACAAGTCAAATGGACATTGACTGATGGAGTCACACCACATTGGACTGTGAACATATCAGATCTTATAAGCTAAGTATTGATGCAATTAAATATGAGACAACCAAAGAAAACCCAAATCCTGCAGGTAGTAGTATATATGTGATGCAGTAGGTAATATCTGTAGTGTTTTTGTAACCCTATTGGTCCAAGAATATTAGAGAGACAAAGTGGGTGAGGTAATATCTTTTATTGGATCAATTTCTGTTAGTGAAAGAGACAAAACCTTTTGAGCTTACACAGAGCTCTTCTTCAGGTTTCAAAAAGGTAGATTGTCACAGTTAAATGCATGGTGGAAGCTCAAAAGCTTCTTTCTTACCCCAACAGAAGTTGGTCCAACAAAAAGATCTCTCACCCACCTTGGCTAAGTAGGTGATAGTCTAGTGGTTTTGGAGGAGACATAAAACTGGGACTCCAACCACATGGGATCATTAAGATCCCATAGTACATTTTGCATGAGTTTGCCAAGTTTGTATTAATTCTGATGTCATGACTAAATTAGCTATATTCTACCTACTTAAATTCCCCTGTAGAATCAAGGGGATAACAATATTTTAGGACGGAAAGAAAAAAATTGTATGCACTGTTAAACAGCTGCTGTGTTCCATCCCTGAGGCAATGTCATTTATTAGTGGATGAAGCAATCCCCAGCTATAGTTTGAGTATTTGAGAATCTTTTAACTAACAGCTGCTAAGAGAATGTAACTTATCATCATGGATCTTATTATCTGGGATCTCACTCTACTCTTGGGGGTATTTATTAAATGAAACACCCCTTGGCTGCTCTTCCACCAGCATCAATACTGCTGCTTCTTGAGGATGGTTTAATTATGCTGAAGAGAGAGCTCTCTCCCATTGGCATAGTGCGACTACATGGGAGACTTTACAGTGGTGCAGTTGCAGCGGCATAGCTGTGCCGCTGTAAGGTCTGTAGTGTAGACACAGCCTTAGCCCCTGTGCCTCAGCTCCCTAGCCGTAAAATCAGGATAACAGCACTTTCCTACCTCACAGGGCTGTTGCGATTGTGAAGTGCTCTGGTACTATAGTGATGAGAGCTGTATACGTACTTCAGCTAGAAGATTAGATAGTCTTTCTTAAAACTCCAGCTCCTGGAGTCACATGGTAAATGAGAATATTGGCATTTGTTTAATAGAAAGTTTCTAGTAAACTTCTCACGGTTGTGAAAGAAAAACATGAAAATGTAGATTCTAAGGCCAGAAGGGACCACTGTGATCATCTAGTTTAACTTCATATATAACCCAGGCCATATCCCTGCATTAATTCCTGTTTGAAATAGAACACATCTTTTAGAAAAACATCTAATCTTGACTTTAAAATTGCCAGCAATAGAGAATCCACCACAATCCTTGGTAACTTTTTCTGTTAAAGAGTCCAATATCAACGTTAACAGTTTCAAAAACCAGAATGCAAATAAAACAAGTGTATTCTTTAAATCTAATGAACCCAATCTCTTGGGCTTGTCTCACAATTTTTTAAACACATCAGGTTGTTAATACTGCCTCTATCTTGTTAGGTTTCAGAGTAGCAGCCGTGTTAGTCTGTATCCGCAAAAAGAAGAACAGGAGGCTGTAGTCCACGAAAGCTTATGCTCTAATAAATTTGTTAGTCTCTAAGGTGCCACAAGTCCTCCTGTTCTTCTTCTATCTTGTTAGGTTTTTATACCAGGCCTCTCTGGAGGACTTCTGCTGTCTTATGTATCTTGAACATTAACTGCAAGTTTAAAATTCAGGCCTGATCCCTTCCCTTTTCTCTTGGCTTATGCCCTACCCTGTGACTTAAAACCCCTTAATCAACCTTAAAAGCATCTTATATTAAATTACACCACAACCCGGAGATAAACTTGAAGGCACTCTGTAACACAGCAACATTGAGAACAGGGCAAGAAAACTTAGCTGCATAGCGCAGTAGGAAAAGGAGTTCAGGTCATGCTCCTGGGGCCAGGACAGTCCTCTCTCTCTCTCTCTCCCCATTGCAAGGGAGAAATGCCTGACTCAAGCCCCTCCCTCGCCCTCCAGTGAATGGTAACTGGGGTAGATTTCCCTCCCTTATGGGCACTACCTAGGGCAGGTCCCCGCCCCGCCCCGTTCCGTTCCGTTCCGTTC